GCAAATAGCTACTAGTAGCTCCTGGCATTACTACTAGTAACAAGAAGCTACTAGTAACAAAGGGCATCGGACATCGCACTAGGAGCAACCAACGACTGGGTTTCTTTGCTTCTGCTTCTCAGGCGGTGTCCGGCGGGTCTTCGCCCGCAGTCTACAGCTTAAGATGGCTCTTCGCCCGGGTGTTCCAAGCACCAAAAACCCAAAGTCCGCTTCGTCAACAGCTCAACAACTGTGGTTCCAGGGGCTTGCGGCTTGGTAAACTTTTTTCGGGTTGCTCCCTGCTGTTGAAGGTCGTGAAAGGCCCTGGGATGAGAGACACCCTCCAAACCACTGCGAATTTGCCCAACAGGGTTTTGGGAGCAGCCCTGGTTTGAGGCATCTCCGCTGGCTTGCGCGTCACTTTCTTCTTCCCTGACATCGCAGGCAGTCAGAATGGGAGGAGTCTCAATTTGGCAATGAGAGTATGAGCCAAGGCACAACTCCCCCGGCCAATGGCAGTGCCGATGGTGAAATCCTCAGCACGTGATGGTTTGCAAGTCTTGGGATCTTTGATGATGATGCAGGTACATTCGGACTGTCTCTGGGAACCGGCAGAGCAAGTTCGTTCGTTCTTTTTTTTTGGGGGGGGGGCAGTTCTGGTCAATTGTTCTGAGGCACATAGCATGCTGCCTGCTGGGCATGCAGCTTCCATGCCTGCTGCCACTCAGGCGTGACAGTCACCAGAAGCTACTAGTAGAAAGTAGCTTCTTGCTCCTAGTAGTAAGGCCAGGAGCCCCTAGTAGCATCCTTGTTCCTAGTAGCGATGCCAGGAGCCCCTAGTAGCGCCCTTGTTCCTAGTAGTAATGCCCTTGTTACTAGTATAGTTTTGGCAGCGTTCTTTTGTTCCTTACGAAAGACAAGACCTTACCCGCTTTTGAAGCTGGAAGGCGTACTGGTCTCCTGGTGAACGCAGGGTCACAGTGGCCATTGCCTTTGGAAAGGTTGAACTGTTCAGGCGTTGTTTTGTCTCTTGTTCTGCGATGTGAGCGGCAAGCAGACAGCATGCAATCACGGTGTCGAAGGAAGAATCCTCTTCAGTTGTTCCGCTGCCTATCTATGTAATTACTTCTATGTATATAGCTAGTAGTAACAAGTGCATCGCTACTAGGAACAAGTGCCTTACTAGTAGTAACAAGAAGCTATATATGTATATAAACCTTGCCCTTCTGTCTTAATTTATGTTCCTCCTCGGACCGATGGCTATCGGATCGATGGCTATCGGATCGATGGCTATCGGATCGCCTTCGTGGCTCCGCAGTCTCCACGGTCTCTTTGGTGAGTTGGCGTGGGCGTTTTGTCTTCCTTCATCTTGTTGTGTGTTCAAGTAGTAACAAGTGCATCGCTAGTAGTAGCAAGGGCATCGCTAGTAGTACCAAGGGCATCGCTAGTAGTAGCTTCTTGCTACTAGTAGTAATGCACTTGTTACTAGTAGCGATGCACTTGTTACTCGTGTTTCGTCTTCCTTCATCTTGTTGTTGCCCTTTTTTCACTCCTCTGGTTCTGGCCATAGTTTACCCAGTGTCTACATTGGCTGTCTTTGTTCTGCCTGTTCTCCACTTTCTTTATTGTTCTTTGAACCATCGCATGTCTTGGCATTGTTTGCCTTTGTCTCGAACTGTTCTTCAACAGATGCATGTCTAGATAATTTCTGCTTTTGCCTCACTGGCATTCGAACCTCTTAGGTGAGCCAGCAACCGGTTCTTCGTCGGTCACTGGGAAGCTCAGGCAACCTTTCTTTTGCGTGAGAAGTTCCAAATTGATATAGACATAGAACACACGTAGAACACGGAACTGCAGAACAGTTCATTTCCTGGTGTCAGTCACACATGCCATGTTCGTCACTATCAGCCTGCTTCAATAGCTTGGAGTCATTTGCTTGGAGCATCTTGGAGCCTTTGAGATGCTTCGGGGTCCAAGATGGTCACATATTTCAATGATTCTTTTTCAATGTAGAGTACCAAGCAGTCTCAATTCACTCCAACTTGCTGCCCTAGCCATGATGCGAAGCTGCAGCTCGAGACATGCCCGAAGCAGTGCTTTCTACAAGATCGTTTGGATAAGGCCACAATATGTTTCTTGGTGGTGGTTTGAATATGATGGACTGTCCCATTTAGGAACATGTTTTCTTCTGTTTTCATGATCTTGCAATTGAACTAAGGTTTCTATGCAATGACCCAGAGAAGCCCAAGGAGGCTGTGCAGGCGCAGGCAGTCCAGGGTGCCTCGGTGGCGGCTCGTGCGGCAGCCCGTACTGCTGACCGCACTGGGGTTGGGAGCTGCTGTGACGTCCTTTGCGCAGACGAGTTGCAGAGCCGGCATCGACCAGCAAGGCGAATCCGGCAGCAAGAGAGGTCGGACAAGATTCTGCGACCAGACACTGAAGGTGAAGCCAAAGCAAAGCTTTCAGATGAAGCAGATTTCCTGGAGCCACGGCCAACATCCAATGACACTGAGATATGTGTATTCTTAGAGAAGGCCGAAGGACTGCCACAAGCGGACTTTCTGGGTACTGCAGATCCTTATGTTGAGATCTCCCTGATGTCCTGCGATCCATTGAAGATCCCGGATCTGAAAATGTCTGATCTCAAAAACTTGTCTGGTCCTCTCTCTGATAGCACCTTGTTCAAAGCAACAAGTCGAATTGTGCGAGGATCCTTAAGTCCCCAGTGGAATCAAGCTTTCTACTTTTGCATCCCAGAAGCAGACCTCACAGTGTATCTCCGCGTCTTGGATTATGACTCTCCCCTTGATCCAGCAAGCGTTTTTTGGAAGATTCATGTCCTGCTGAGGTCCGAAATATGCGCGCACAGGGCACAGCGCACCAAATCCGAACAGAACGGAGCACTTCTGGGTGCCCCACCCACCGACTGAGCCGCGACCCTCAGGATCTTGTGGTGAGCGATGACTTCCTCGGGCACTGCTCCTTCGGAGTTTTGGACGCCTTGGGTCAGCGAGACGGGATTTCTGCAGGTTGGCATGCTCTGATTCACCAAGGCGTGATGGGGAAGAAACTGATGGCGTGATGGTTCGTGTCTGAAGTTTTCAAAGCAGACGATGTTTTATTAGTGCGACGTGGCAATCACCTGATTCATTATTGCCTCATTTTCTAGTTGCCTCGTTAAGACCTCAGAGAGTACTGTAGATATTTTTAGGTATGTATATAAGTTATCTAAGCTGGATGAGACCGCAGCTTTTCCAAACACTATCTCAACGAGCCCGGCCGTGCCAGGCACTCCCGGCCAGAAGCTGGCCGCTCTCCGGGATCCCCATGTGGCTGAAGCGGAGGGATCCACACCGAGCGTGCGGCTCCGCGCCGCACCGGGGCAAGAGTCCACGTATGACCTGAGCTCTGCGAAGATCTTTGTGAAAGTGTCCCTCACAGGCCGAAGCATCAGACCTTTACTACAATCAAGCACGCGAGAAGGGCGAGAAGGGCGAGAAGTGCGAGAAGCTGACTGTGATGAGCCGGCATTTTTGGAGCTGGTAGAAGTGATCCAAAAGAATGATATTTGGGGAGCACTTCGTCTCCTCAGCTCCAAAAGAGTCTCTGTGAACACGAAGGTTCTTGAAGGAGCCTTTCAAGGCTACACAGCGTTGCTCATTGCTTGCAGCCAAAAGCATGCTGAGATGGTCAAGGCATTGGTGGACATTTTTAAAGCCTCCTTGGTGGTCCAAGCTCCTGGCGGTCGTACTGCGGCGATGTTGGCTTGTTCAGCTCGAGCGGAAGGCCTCGCAGAATGGCTCATCTCGGAAGGTGTTCCGGCGGATTTAACGGATGATGCTGGACGTAATGTGCTTTTCTATGCGGTGCAGGAAGCGTTTCCACAACTCACGGCCTTTCTACTGAGCACCTTGGCAACTCCTTGAAGCCTTTGTAATTCTTTTCTGACTGATCGCAGCCCCTTCTGGGCCAACCTTCGTGCTAGTTCACTGAACATATATTTTCCTGCCAAGCCTTCACAGGTAAACAGCGATTGTCTCCAATGACCAGAGCTCTCGACGGGTCATCTCCTTTGTCACTGGCCGTTTCCACCGAACACACTGCTTCGGTCGTGGTGGCCAAGCAGCTTTTAGAGGCCAAAGCAACACCGGAGACTTGTCGAGGAAAGATCTGAACGTGTTGAATTTCGAGGCGACAGAACCAAGTCACAATAAGGAAAGACAGGCACATTATCTAACATACACCTGCAGATAATACAATCAGATAATCAGTATTTGTTGATTTTGTTGAGATGTTTTGACTAAGGATAGTTCGGACAACAAGGGCAATTTGCCGCTACATGAGGCAGGGGCAGATTGCGTGCGTCGGAGAGTGCCGGACAGCCCGAGGGGTCAAGAGGAGAAGCGAAATGATGTCTGAAGCTGCTGTGAATGGGCGGATCATTGCCCAACGGCTGCAATGTGCCGGGTGAAAGAATAGATCCAGGTCAGGTCCATACGTACATATCCAGCTATTAGGGGCTCCTGGCCGTACTACTAGGAGCAAGAGCGCTACTAGTAACAAGGGCATCGCTACTAGGAGCAAGGACGCTACTAGGGGCTCCTGGCCATACTACTAGGAGCAAGAAGCTACTAGTAACAAACAAGTAACCGGTAGTAACAGCCAAGCGCAGTGGACGGGGGCGTGGGGGCCGAACATCTCCGAACGCAGTGGACGGGTGCGCGTTCTTCGAAGCACCGACCGCCGACCTATACGAAATCAAGCACTCGGTGGACACGGTATGACCAGTTTACTCCACCCTTGTCTTTTTTTCCCCTCATGAACCCTATCAAGTTTCCTTGGACTTAGAAAAACATATTTTATCGATGTTTTCTTTCAAATTTCCTTGGAGGACTTGAACTGCTTGAAAAAGCATGGCTATCTGTGTGCCTCAGCAGCCGTACGGTCAAGTGTTTGAGGAATGACTATCACACCCTGCGAGGCGTGCCGAGCTGGAAACGACAAGTGTGTGAAGCTGTTGCACAGTCATTCGCACGCCACAGTCTTAGTCTGGTGCAGAAACAAAAAACGAGTCGAATAGCTTGCGAAGGTGCTGGTGGTCAGACTGCGGATTGATAGCTGCATACTGAACCTGGGCAACCAAGGCAGCACTGCTTGGTGCTTTGGATTCTGAAGGTTGGGTGATGCTCTTGGTGGGGAGTCGCATCTTTTTCTTTGCACGGATGGGGCAGTGTACGTGCGAATCAAGTTCCTTTTTGGGGAGATGCACATTCACATTCATTTGCAAGCCAACGGATTGGGACATTGATTCTGCAAGTTGCATTTGTGTGTCCTTTGAAAGACATCGGAGAGTGTCCGTAGAATGTCCAGGCCAAGTGCCGTATTCTCTTGCAAAGGCTGCAGGTGGGAGTTCGCAGTTTTTGCGCATCCTACACCTACAAGCCAGAAATGTGAAAGGCAACACATTTAGAGAAGTAAGATCTCCTTCACTCTGTGATGTGGTTCAAACTGATGTAGCGACGCTAAATACTAAATGCAGCATTTGCTTTGGGTATACCTTCCAGACGATCGACCGAGTGTGGACAATTTTTGGCGGTCGACCGCACCTGGTGTGCTTCAATCGGGCTTTGCGGCCGACCTAGTTAAGTCGGTTCTCCCTGACCAACCTCATTGGGTTTTGAACACCAAAGAGGTGTGGCATCTTCCCCCATAGACTAGACTGAGGTGTTTAATTCTACTGGAGGGCTTTTGGCTTAGAATTGCAATATTCATCAATATTCAATGATTCCCGGAATACTTGCTTGTGACAGGCTTGCCAGAGGCGAGGTGTTCGATCGTGGTCGAAAGCGCTCGATCGAGCTGCTTCAAGTGGATCCAAAAGTTGTTACCAGAAAATCCTGTTCCCAAAGTGAACTTTGCTCCGGACAGATAGTTTACATCCCCGGCCCAGAGCCAATTTGGCCGTTTGGGTCAGCCCCTTTGCTTCATGGAGAGCTGGGAGGGTGTAAAACCCTTCTATGAGGATCTTGCAGAATTTGCTCAGCTGAGTTTCGTAATCATACTTGCTCCTCAGATCACTATCAGAGCTACAGCTACAATGAACAGATGGCAGATCATGACGAAACTACTATATATTTCTCTGTGCTGTTCAGGCAACCTTAAAGCTGCTTCAACCCGGGAAGCGCGCAGCAAAGCCCAGCCGTGAAGAGCCAAAGTGCTCATCTCAGTGACAAGTGCTCATCGCGATGAGGTTGTAGAACTAGAATAGCTCCTGATAGCGATGCCAGGAGCCCCTAGTAGCAGCGATGCCCTTTGCTCCTAGTAGAGAGTTTGTAGTGAGCCAACAAGTTTGACTTAGCACATTGCTTTTTCTGGAGGTCCTCCCAAAAGATTGGTGGCAAAATGATTCGGTAAAACATGGTGAAATGGAATAGTACTTTCAACATCTTTCAAAATGTTTCTAAACTATGGTACGAACCACTGTCTTTTTTGAGGAGCTCCCGACAGTTGGGTGAGTCCTTCGAGGAAGCCGAGAAGAGAGAGCTTCGTGCTCGAAAGGCTGGGGATATCGGTGTGCCGAACACGCTGAAAGTATTTATTCAATAATGATTGATATGTCCTGCATCCAAAAGGTCTTGAACTTCCTGGTGCACCTCTTCACAGAGGACATGCAACCCTCTTTCTGCTTAAAGACGCAGCCAGGCAGCCATAAGTGCTGAAGCCGAAGCCAGCTGGCAGGCGCATCGCCCTTGGGTTCCATTCCCCTTTGGCCCAGAGCTGCAAGTTGCTGCTTGAATTTCCCTTCCCGGAGGCCTGGAGGATGCTCCATCCCCGCACGGACGCGGCATTGGAAAAGAATGGCCTTGGGAAAGATGAAGATGACAGGGCAGCGAAGCCCTTCAAAGTTGAGGAGATGTCATGTCTGTGTTGCACAGCTTTGGCCAAGCTTTTTGATGGGTGCCGCTTCAATTGGGAGGACCTGGAAGATCCATTCTTCGCCCTCAGCCAACCATCCCGAGCAGAAGATGCTCAGGCTGCCTGAGCTGCGCTTTGGACATCTGATTGAAGACATCTCAGTCGCTGCCCAGTCGCCTCGTTTTTCGTCGCGCAGCACTCTGTTTTTGTGAAGGCCACGACTCGGAGACGATCTGACGTTGCCAAAAAGTCCTGGAGAGTGAAGGCCTCAGAGCGAGTTTTTGGTCACGAAAGGAAACATACCAGGACATGAGCTGCTCTTTTTGGAACCAGGAATATCAGGAATTCTCTTTGTGGCTTCTCTTTGTGGCCATGGCCAGTCCTGCCGCAGTACAGTTTTCAAGCGTCGCGAACGGCTGCCTGGTCCGGCCCCATCCAAGCTGCCCGTGGCACTCTGTCTCCCGGGTTCCAGTGGACCAGTGTGGCAAAAGACGTCGTGAGACAACAACAGCACCAACCCTCACAATAGCAATGTTGACAGCCAAAGGCAACGGCATGCTATATGCACCGGCGGCTAAATGACCCATAGCACTTGAGAAAGGATCACCGGAAGCCGGAAGACTACTTTCCTCCACAAACAGGTGGTTTACAGGTTCTATGTTTACCTTACCCGGTATATCATGACACGAGCCACAGCAACAGCAATGACTAGTCAAACTAGCAAACGTAAACATCAGCTATGCATGCTGCCTCTAATTATTGGCAAGCTCATGCAAGCTCTATTTTCTGAAGGCTTCGCAAAAACGCCGGGCGATGTACAGGTGTGTATCGCACCTGGAGTACACCACCCAGGAAACAACGCCCACCCAGCCCAACCAAAGATGACCCTCCACCATTGTCATACTCTTTTCGACAAAAAAGGGTGCTGTTGTGAATCTGCTATGTAGCTGGTGTTCCGGCGCCAGCGCCTGTGGTAACGACGTGTCAGCGACATTGATTCCAAATTTGCTTCAAAAGGCCTGAATGGTGCAATGCATACAGCATCATTTCAGAGTTATAGAGTTTGCAACGCGTACCAACAGTGTCAACTATGACATTCAGTCGTTTTGTGAGTGGATTTTTGTAAGATTGTTCAACTGCCGGAGTGAGCCCCCAAGTTTGCTTTCCATCTTCCATTCCGAGCGCATGTTTCAGCTTTATTAGCTATATTTAATATCCCCAAAAATGCTTACCGCGACCTTACGAAACTCATAGCTACTTGTATGCGGAGCTCGATAGGACAAAGGCCCTGACCAAACAATGAAAACATTGTTTTTTAGAGTTGCTCATGTGGCTTCTGGGGCTGGTTGGACTAAGACCCCTTTACTGAAGATCTCCTTTAAAGCTTATTATGACTTATTTAACTGTTGTAATCTGTACGCTAAGCTGGTTGCACGTTGGAACTCTCGAACAGCTCTTGAATGTTTTTCAGTGTTTTTTCGCTGTTTTTCACCCTCGGCTTGCTGTGGTGGTTTTCCTCGCTCGTTCCGATGAGGTTGCAGGCTTTTGTTTCTCTGCCAAAGGCCGGGCAGCCCGGGGTCCAGGTTGGTGGTGGGTCAAAAGCGTCGCCAAGTTCTCAATTGCACCGGCCGGTCGCAACGGAGCAATCGGTTTGGTGGAACCAGATCTTGCCAGTCATGGTTTGGACCGCGTCGTGGTTCTTAAATGTTCTATGCATTGTTGAGTTCTCCCAGTGGCTAGATTCTGGAAAAGGCATCGTTAATACCAAACACACTGTGTTGAAGCCCTAAAAGCACACGAGTATGTAAATATGCAAAAAGCTGGCTGTATATATATCTGTGTGTATATCATTGCATATCGATTGGGTAAACGGCGCCATACGTTCACACATCGCTACGATTTTGCATGTGGCCCTGTGTTACCACGATTGCCCCGGACGTGAAGACATTCCTGTCCATCCAACCCACCATTCCGATCTACGATCGATTGTTCACGTGTTTCAAGCGGTGAAACTTCCCGAGATCGCAATGGAGAGGTTGGATACGGATACGCATGCAGTTCACACAGCGAAGTTCCCACGACCGTGATGCGGATCCAAATCATATATATATATTATGTGTAGTAATCTGAGTTCTGCAAATTTTTTGATTGCTTTATTTTTTTCAGATGGGTGACAGCTTGTGCAGACCCCATCTTCATCCATCCTCTGGAAATCGCGCTAACAGTGGAAGGGTCTGAAGAGAGGGCTGTGATCAGCGTTTCCCCAAGTACAGAAGATCAAGCGCACTAGCGACAGCCTCCCTCCAAATGACACATGCTTGGCTCATGATTCGTTCAGGTCATGTGTAAAGGCGGACTACAGCCTGCAGATAGTAGACCTCCACACACAATATATATATATATAGACTAGACAAATACATCTATTTGAATATTTCACTAGGAGCAAGGACGCTACTAGTAGCTCCTGGCATCGCTGCTAGTAACAAGAAGCTACTACAAACAAAGGGCATCGCAACTAGGAACAAGAAGCTACTAGTAGTTCCTGGCATTACTAGTAGGAGCAAAGACTCTACTAGGAGCAAAGGGCATCGCTACTAGGCACGCACATGGGGACGGGCCAAGATGCCAAAACCTAACCAGTCAAAACCTAGACACTCAACTATACAACCATACCTCCGCCCAGTGGAAGGCTGAGAGGACTATTTCCTCCACGTGAGCAGGGAGTCTGGTTTTCTGTGACTTGCTTTGTTGGTGCACGAATGCACCAAGGCCCTGTGCTGGCACTCATCAAGTACTCTTTGCCGATACTCTTTCCACACGCACACTGGGGATACAGTACACATGTACGGTAGTGTACACTCGAAACACCTAGGTGGCTGGCAGTGTCAAGGAGGTCACACACCAAGATCAAAATGATCAAAAGACACCACGACCTACAGACCTGTCAGACATCTCAACAGCCTTAGCCGAGTGGAATGTCGAGGATAGATGAACAAGACCAAGCAAGGTTATACTTCCTAATTAGTTGTTTTCACGCTCAACCACTGAAAGTGCTAGTGGGCCCTTGCACCGGAAGAACACAACTCCACGCCATACACACACACACTACTATAACATGAAGCATCATCCATCTTAATTTGAGTCGCAGAACTCCACCCGTCCAACAGTTCCAAAAAGATATCCCGCTCACTAGGTGCCTCCAGTCCTTTCAACTTGAAATCATGGATGAAGCGTTCAGTGTGGGCTCTCAGTTTTGGCATCATGCTTTCGCATGTAATTGGGAACACTCGATGTACGTCTTGTGCGTTCGTATGCACTTGGGTGCTCGATTGAAGAAAATGAGATCCAAGGCCCGTGCACAGCTCGGGCCTGACAAAACGTCACTTGCAATCAGACCCCAAACGACCGCCACAGAAGACCGATCGAGTCGAGGTCATACAGCCCAGATCGAGAAGAGCGCGAAGAAGCATAGCCTCAATTGTGAAAGACAATGTAACTTGCGAGAGTTCAGTTGATTGTTAAAATAGCAATCTTGAGTGCCTGAATTCTTGCTTCAAAAATTAGTACTTTGAAATCAAGTTGGGATCGCATCCTTGAAACAATGGACGCATTCCAGGGCCACGCAAATCTCGAGGCCCTTTCAATTGATTGCGCGGGAGAGCTTTTGCGCAAAACAGGGGTGCTCCAACACGAAGTCTCAGGCTTCCTGCTTTGTTTGCCAAGCCAATAAAGACCCTTTGCTCCTCTAGTTCCCAAGTACTCTCAACTGCACTGACTCACAACGTGAGTCAAAACCCGAGGTTCCAAGTAAGGGATGTTGACCACTCGATGTTATTATCTTTTTTCCGTGGGCAGGGGGGGGCTGAGAGCAACAGACTTCGGAGATGGGGGTCAGCATCACATCGTTGGATGGCAAGGTGCAGTTGCGAGCTTGGCGCAGCCTAGCTCCTCTGCAACTGTGCTTAGCTTGGACCGTGCGAAAGGGAACCTGCATGTTCATCAACTCCACATGCCCAGGGGTTGAGTATGAACACTTGAATTTGCACAGTCTCGCGTGTGCTCTAACTGTTGAGGCTCCTTCAACTCCTGATGTTGAGAAGGACTTTCCCGAGCATACCCCTCCCAGATGCCCAGACCCCCCCGGCACGGCAGGTACAGAGGGTGTCGACTCCAACATGTTGTGCGTTTTGGTTGCCAGGATCATGCACGCTGTTGGGAATCTGGGCATAGAACATGAATGAGCATGAGATTTTGCGTTGGATTTCAAGGTGGCCGAGGGATCAACTGACACAATACGAGTAGCAGAAAATGGTTTGCGGAAAGAACTCCTGGACAAAACTGCTACAACACATTACAAAACCTTGAGATACCTAGGACCTAGGCAAAACGCAGCAACACCTTGTGTCTTGAGTTGGTCCAGAGAGAATTGCCTTTGAGGAGCTTGCGCGGCGATTGGACCTTTGCCAAGAAGAGTTGGCGAGGCTCGAAATGTCATGACATTTCAATTCTCCTGACATCTCAACCAGCGCGACCTATCCGCATGCTTGACCTCATCCACATGCGAGCTATGCCAGGGAGCGTTCAAGATCGGAGGAGCTTGCTGCTGCACTTCACGAGGTGCAGCTGCAACCGCAGATGTGCTATGTGTTCAGCTGGGCCAGGTGAGCATGAAATGAAGCTAGGACCTAAGAAACTCGCAATGGAGGCGATTGCTAGTAGGTTGGAGGCCATCGCTATTTGGTTACATAATCAAGTCTTGGATCCATTATATAACCAGAGCTATTGAGAATCTTTATGCGAACAGTCCGGCAGCATGGATGGCGCATAAAGTACTGGTTCCAAGGTTTTCTTGTGCTTTGTTCGCTTCATCCAAATCTTTGCAGTTTTTTCCCTGCCAACTGCGGTGAGAAATTGCGTCTTTCATTGCCATGGCTCCCGGTCTCTGGGAAAAGCATAGCGCAGGCCTTGAGATCCCTGAAATGGAATGAGCGGCATGAACTTCTGGAGATTCACCATTGCGACCGCTTGAGTGGCGAAGACTTCACATTGTTGTCTGACAAGATCAAAGGAAATGAGCTGTCAGCAATGCTTCCAATAAAGTTTGGCGGCCGAGTTTCATTGCAACATGAATCCAACACACCCCCTGCCCCTGTAAGACTATCGCTATTGGGTTGGAGGGTTGGAGGCCATCGCTAGTAGCTAAAGAAAAAGGAAAAGGAAGAAAGGTGAAATATAGTTTGCTATTAGGTTGGAGCAGCGTCTCAAGGGCTCACCCGGGCAAGCCGCCCGTGACCTTGTCCTGCGTCTACGAGCCCAGCAACCTGCATGGCAAAGAGGATTCGGAGCACACGAATATTTTCGAAGGTGTCACGGATATCTTCTGCTTTGGCACAGAGCGACCGGAGCAACTGGGCCTGCACCGAGCAGACCCGAGCCTGCGGACGATTCGGAGTTTGTGCCTTGACCGGTCAGAGGGAGTGATGTGGCCGAGCAACCTGCAGAACTTGATTTTGACCCAATCCTTGAACCAGAATTTGGAAGACACGAAACTTTTTAGCGGCCTGCAGAATCTGACATTGGGTGGGACTTTGACCAAGTTTGGAAGGAATGACTTGGCTCAGCGGTCTGCAGAAACTAAAGCACCTTAGATTTGGGGAGTCCTTCAACAAGTCTTTGGTTCGAGTGGCTTTCCCAAACAGCTTGCAAAGTCTAATTGTTGCTAGCTTGTCGTCCTTTAACCAGAGCTTCACTGGAGTGAATTGGCCTAGTAGCCTCAAGACTTTGACATTCGGCAATGATGTTTTCCGTGCAGTTAAGTTTTACCTTGAACTCTTGGATTTGCATCTTGTGTCTTGGGATAATAGGGGCCTGTACTTTTCAGTTAACCCTCAAAATCAAAATTTGAGCCGTTTCGTTCGTGCGTATGGTGAATCCATCAAACTCATGCCAGAAGGTGTTCCACCTCATGTCCTTCGGGTTGCTGCTAGACACAAAAGCCTTTTGCAGATCCGGCCTTCTCGATTGGACTCTGAAGATTTCAGTAACATAGATGTTGAGGCTTCGTCCCACCCTCTATGGTCAACGTGGCGAGCAAAGCTTTCTCGCAAGACCCTTATTGTTCTTAATATTTATCGGGGTGGTGCGATCCAGACCCCTACAAGAGGAGGGTATAGCCATGATCCTTCTTGCCCTTTCTGCAATGCGCAGCTTGCCTCCATGCGGCATTTTTGGGCATTGTGCCCCAAGTTCAGAGCAAAGAGAGATTTTCTTCAGGGTTTATTTCAAATCCCTTCTGGTTGGTGGGCACTTCAGCCTCGCGTCACGTCCAAAAGTGGTTGGGTTGTGCCTTCTGCAGCCGATTCGGCTGTGCAAAGAGCCAAATGCCAGATTGCTGCTTGTGAGCTTGCTTTCGAAATCAACGATGCTTTGCATCCCATTTCTTCTACTCCTTAGGTTCTTTTCCGGGTTCCGCCTGGATTGTTTTCATTTGCCCTCGGGCACTTGCATCTTGTGACAAGGTTTTCTTTCCTTGCCTTTGATCCGTGCAAAGCCCGGTACAAACCGGGGTGCGTCTAACTACCTACGGGCTTAGGTTGGCGCATGCATTGTTTTTTTGACATTCGGCAATTGTTTCAACCAGAGTTTGGACAACGTGACATTTCCAAGCAGCCTGGTGAACTTGACGTTTGGCGAGGACTTCAACCAGAGCCTGCAGCACGTAACGTTGCCCCGTTGACTTGAGAGCCTGACATTCGGTGAGCGCTTCAACCAGCCTTTGCCCGCTGTGAGATTACCATTCTTCCTTGAAAGTCTTGAGTGCGGCGCGGATTTTGGCCAATGCTTGCAGAGAGTCAGGTGGCCTAAGTGCTCTCAAGAGGCTCAAGCTTGGCTGCTCCTTCAGACACAGCTTGGTTGACATCGAATTGCCATCCAGCCTGCAATGCTTAGACTTGGTGGCGTCTGAGGGGACTTCTCCTGGGTGCACAAGCTGACGATGCCACTTTCGAACAAGCTTTGCTCCAACAATGAGAAGCCTTCAGGCTGCGTGAGCATCCACGACTATTCATACAGAATTTGAAACTGAGGAGGACGCAGGGACTCTTGAGCAGTTTAACCTCTCCCCGTAGTGGACAAAATCGTAAGCGATTAATTGGTCTCCAACAACCTGGGCAGCCACTTTCAGAGTCCAAACTACTGGTAGCAACTAGCACTCCACACGCCAGGGTAGGAGCTGTTTTATCTTTATTGAAACCAAGGAGGAAAGGTATCCGCGAGAGGGATAAGACTGGACCTTTTGACAGCACTTCACGGAAAAGTAGCGTGAACGTGCTGTTGCATAGAGCATAGGAGGTCCTTGGAGGTCCTTGGTCCGCCTCGAGTGTGTGAGTCCATGGAGTCCATGGTGGAGAGTCCGCTTCACACCAATCGGCTTCATGTTGGCCTCATGCAGGCTCGACTGAAGGCCGAGGACGGAGAGGAGCAAGCCTTAGCATGTCGACCAATCGCTATATAATCTTTCAAAAGGCAGGTTTGCGGGACTACACCATCATCCTAAATCTCGCTGGTAGGTTGGAGGCCATCGCTATTAGGTTGGAGGCCATCGCTAGTAAGTAGCTTCCTTAAAGTCTTCTTCCAAGTATTCTTTTTCTAGTTGACCTCCTGATGGGGTCTCTTCTGGTCTGAGGTGCAGACATTACGCCAGCAGCTCCAGAGCCGAGATCGAGAGCTTCTTGCGGCCTGCCCAGACATGTATTGGACTGAAAAGAATGAAGCAGATAGGTCCACACCGAAACATACGGTACTGAGACTGATACTTGTGCCGTTTGTGCCTTTAATTTCGGACTTACAGTACTAAGGGCCCTTATGATTCATCACTACAGTGCTACTTCAGAGCTTACGGGGCTAGTGAGGGTTGAGCGAGTGCAAGTGACACCACCAATCCACAGCGCGACATGTTTTAACGTTTCTCAAAGCTGGAAAAGTGCATTCATCGTCATGGCCATGTGCGCAGTCTATCCTTACCTTGCACCCCTGTTGCACGAAGGCAATATTTAAAGGACAGGGAAGAGACAGGTAGAGAAAGAAGGGCGTAGACAAGCATGTAGAGAAGCAGGCATGTAGGATCATGTACTGTAAGTATTGTGCACAGTACGTCGAGAGGTAGGTAGGTATGTGGGTATGTAGGTATGTGTGAATGGGGCCATGTCAGGCCATTTTGGGGCGTATGTAAGCGTATGTAAACGTATGTAATGTATGTAAATGTAGTAATGTATGTACTGTATGTAATGTATGTCACGTATGTCGTGTATGTAGTGTATGCCATGTATGCAATGAATGTTTGTAATGTAATGCAACCCCCAAATTCCATTCCCCAAAGGAACCGCGAGCGCAGATGGAATTCAGCGAGACTAGCCTGAAAAACCATTCCGCCAAACGCCAATGCTTCCGGCACACGATGCCAGGAGCCCCTAGTAGCGTCCTTGCTCCTAGTAGCGATGCCAGGAGCCCCTAGTAGCGTCCTTGCTCCTAGTAGCGATGCCAGGAGCCCCTAGTAGCGCCCTTGCTCCTAGTAGCGATGCCAGGAGCCCCTAGTAGCGTCCTTGCTCCTAGTAGCGATGCCAGGAGCCCCTAGTAGCGCCCTTGCTCCTAGTAGCGATGCCAGGAGCCCCTAGTAGCGCCCTTGCTCCTAGTAGCGATGCC